CCTCGGAACCAGGTCGATCTCATGACACCCACCTCGGTCCGGAGGTAGGACCGACAGCGGGTCTTTGGAGATGATGTCTTTACCAAAGAATAAGACAGATCTGAGGGATCCTTCAGGATGTTCAGCACCCTCTTGGTGACCTCCAGGACAGCTTCATCCAGAAGCGCGACGAATAAATCTCCTCGTTCGGGCTTATAGTGACCACATCGGCTAAACTGCCTGCCTTCAAGGCACCGCCAAACGCTTTGATAGACATCTCGTCCAGCTCAAGAAGAGCATCCACCGCGAGAATAGCCTCGAGGATGACGTTGCCGTCTTCGTCTCCCGTCATCTGGTCGACAAGGGAATATAAATGTGCGATATCGTCTTCGGTAGACACAGGGTCAACGCCCTGCGTCTTGCAGCCAGCATACGGCTTTGCTGTCTCCTTTCTATAGATCTTTTATGTGTCATCGAGATCAGTGGGAACACGCATTTGGCGTCGTCCAGTGTCCCCACTCCCAACCCCATCGGGGCCTTGGTATTATTAACGACATTCGACGAAGAGCTGCTAGTTCCGCAGTCTTATTCCAGTGAATAACGTGCCACTCCACGCGTATCAGAAGTGCCTTGCCCAAGATGACTCAGATCTTGTCCGACCATGCCACTCGTGGCATGCTGCATCTGCTTTGAAAACGTAAGCAGTGCTCAGTGGATTTACGCACGTCACAAGGGCTGAGGCAGCAAGGGCGAGGTCCTAGGCCAACCATGCCACTCTTGGCATGCAGCGACTGCTCCAATACTTGCGCAGCAATCAGTGGGTTACGTGCCACTCCACGTACAGCCCGTGAGCCACGCTCGGGGCTCTTGTTCCACACACATTCGGTGTTCAACAACTCGGATACTCCGATATCCAGCACATTGACCGTCCCGGTCCGGTGCCCGCGCCAATAAGGCTTCTGTTTCCTTGCAAAGGTGGCCCACCAAAGCTCCACCGTGAGACGTGCACGTAGCGCTCAAGAGCTTTGACCTAAAATAAATTCATGGCTCATGGTGATCTAACCATGCCATACCAAGGACAAGGTCATATCTTTCATCCGAGTCTGAGGCTAAGCAGCGTTCCACGCCAAGAAACTTGACCTCAAGGTCCACAAGGACCCTCGGCACAGTGACTCAAGTACCCTTCGCTAAGCGAACAGTGGCGGTTTCACACAGCTGCGCTTCCAGTGCCTCAGCATACAGCTGACTTCCTTCGATCGTGGAGCGTCGAGGATAATGTCCCCCGACGCCCCGGAATTGATAAGGATCTTTTATGGCTTATCAAGGCACTTCATTCGACCGTTCAGCAAGGCCGGCTTGCACACATGCTACGTGTTCACGAGCCCACAGCTTTTCTGGGCTAGGCCCTGCTTTTTTCTACCTACAGAACTCAGTCTCCACCAGTAGGGCGCCGCGCGCCTACTGGGTTTTCTCGTTTCCCCGCGACAAATCAGACTGGTTAGAAGCGGGACGTCGGTTCGATAAACATTTACGCGCCTTGCGCAGGGGACAGCCAGTCCGAAGGCGACGGGTGCCCCCACAGACATAACACCGTCGGGTGTTTAAACACTGCCCGGCAGTTTGGAGCTCTCCCTCCTCTTTCTCAGCATAGCTGAGATCCATTGGCTCAAGTCCGCTCGATGAGCTCTGAGGGTGTGCATATGAATCAAGTCATGCCGACTTAAAGTTGATTTCGGCATTCAATGCCACATTCACCGCTTCTTCAAAAGAAGACGGATGCATACGGAAGAAGTTCATTCTGACCACGCCAGTGCCAAGTCCCTCTATAAAGACGGTCACTGCGACCACCTCGGGGACAAGATCGGCTGCCATACCGGCAATGAGAGTTCTTAACTCTTGGACAAAGTCCACGAACTCTTTCTTGCCCTGTCGGGCGGCAAGAAAATGCGATCTCACGCGATATGCCTGTTTGGGCGGCGAGAACACTCGCAATAGCTGACTCTTCTGCTTTTTCCAGGAGAGGAACGCCGCTTCAACCGAAGCACTGCAGGTAAGCATCCATTCCCGCGCCCGGTCCCCGTAGCTTGGAGATAGCTGGCGCCACGCGCAGTTGCTCGTTTTGGAGCATGGCGAATGCCATAGCCATCGCAGGAGATTCTCTCCATCCCAACCCTCGAAGGTCTTAGCGCTCACCACGAGCGGCCTGGATCGGAAGGCATTAACCGTCGTCGACGGTGACGTCATAGACGCAGTCGACGCGGACAGCTTTTGCTGTGAGTGCTACAACAGAGTTTTTCACAGTCTGAAAACGCCTCTAGCGCGTGCTTATGGCCTCGGGCCCTTGCGCAACGAGGTGCTCCACGCCCTTAGAGCCCAACAGGGACATAAGCTTATTAAGCCCGTCCTGCATGCCCCAAGGCAAAATAGAGTACCCCTTCATCCTCACAGAGGATCAGTCGTGACGACTGGAAGAAGATTGACTACTAGTGCTACCAAGTGCAGCGGGGCTGCCGTAGCTCTTTGCTTAGAGGATGCTAAGCTAAGGTCACCAACCTTACGTTCTTTCCAAGAACCAGTACGAGTGTAGCAGATCGCAATCTGCTACCTCCAATTACTAAGACCTTAACTAAGGCGAACGAACACTTCAATTTAAAATCGAAGCTGTATTTAATTGTTTTAGCCACGGCAGAGCCACCAATACCTAAAACCTTAGGTTTTACTAATTAATACAATAATACCAAATGAATACAACAAAACCTTATTTATATGGTAATATACTTTAGTACTGGCAATTGGTGGCTAATTGTTACGGTGTAGCCACACCACTGTGTGATTACACTAACTTGTGTAATACGCACCTAAGTACGGTCGCACAATCTTATGCGATCCGCCCTATTATACAAGGGGACGTGTAACCCCATTACACCATGTATGTGGACTACAAACTATTCATGGAATCGTTACGTGTTTCCGGTTCGTTTCGATGTACACTTTTCGTCAGCAACAAGATGCACTGGAAGTTTGATACAAGCTTAAATGGAGAACGGAAGTCAACATGTCGACCACCTGTATTCATGGGTGAATAGACGTCGAAGACGCTAAAGACTTGTTGTGAAATTGTCTTGTGTTTCGTTATCGATGAAATTATATTCTAGAGCCTCTTGATGAGCGCATCGAAGGAGATCTTGACTGGACTTTGGTGATATTTGCAAATGTTAATCATTGTATGTCCACTGCAACTAAGCTCTAAGTCTTTTTGCTATCGAAGTGGTACTCAACATTATTTGATGCTGCGTTCCACGCGACCTATGGCTACATCGAAACAAGAAGTTGTATGATACTGAATTCAAAATTTTGGCAAGTTCGTTCAAGCTTACATAAAATTGCACTCATACAAGCTCGCAGAAGTTGCTTTAGACAACAAAAACAGCACTAATTTACACAACATCAACCGCTTTACGACTACATACAACGGATACATCGGCTATGTAAGTGAGACAGGTTATTTCATAATGAATTGGTTCATCACAATCATCCAAATATGACCATGACTATGCCTACGACTATGCCTATATCTTCGCTACAACCACGACTACAATAACGATTTTATGCAACTATAAATTGGAGACCTATCCAGACTATGTACGGTATTGCGAAGTCAAATTGACTTGAGCACATGAGTGTCTAATATTGTAGTCTGTTGGGGGAGAATCAGCGCAAAACGCCGCTTCAATTATCCGACTAGACCGATATCTAGACCGAGATAGTGGGATCTTTTGGGAGATTTGTTTACGGAAAACTACAGAAGATTACCAATGCACTTTATCGCGCGCACATCGACATCAAGGTCCCCAATCTGTACCTTATCCGCTCATCGGGCATTTTTCAGCGCCCAGTATTGACCTCGCTTACAGAAGTCAAACTCGCAAAGTAGAACTTCGGGCTGGATATACCTTCTGCTATTCCTCCGCAAGGAGCATCTTACTGATTCGACACAGCAAATCTTTTCAATCTTGAAAACACATCCATGGTTATCTGCGCACTCGAATTGATGGCTTTAACCCGCCACCGGGGCAGATAAAAATATTTTTTTACCTACCAGCACAAGGTGCAACTGTCCTATTTACATTGATACACAGTATCTTGTATGATGAAGCAGGGTTTAGGCACTCCGTTTAAGTGATGGCGTGTCGATCGACGACAAACAGTCAATTTCTTGGCATATGGCGCTAGATAAAATACAAGATGTTATTATTTCAGCTCTAATGTTGAAATTGATTCACGCGAATTCTTAATCCGACGGCCGCATAATTTCACCACCTCGTGCCCACATGAAGAAGCTGGGAGGCGCACCGACGCTCTGTCGCTAAGCAGAAATATTTGCTCCTGGTGGATCGCAACCGCATTGCTGTGGTTAATTGCGTGTTCAAAGGAGTTTGAGAGATACCTTATCTTATTATCAGGACCTATCCATGCATTTCCCGCTCACTTTAACTTCATATTTGAAGAGCGACGAATTTCTCAAACTCGCGGTACTTGTACTAGCGACGAATATTATATTTTCGCTAGACCGATGCACCAATTTCCCGTGGCGTCGATGAGGCATCATATGGACCAACTGGCTCAGACTCGACCGATCGATTAAACCAATACTCGCCATAGCCAGAACGATCAATCAGCGGCGGAGCCTCAACAGGTGTCAGCAATTGTAGGGTATCCACTCGTTTTGGTCTTAGATAGAAAATGCCAAATAGTATAGCTATAGTCGCCGCGCATCCCACGATGATAAACGTTACAGTATTACCCACCTCGCTGCTTCCACCGATGCTGCCACTAATCGCTGGATTCAGACTGCCGTCCACTAATGGCAAATTAGAATAGTTGCCATCGTCGTCAATGATGGGCGAAAGTTGCAAGACGTCATTTGATGCTGAGGTGTCATTCGAGGTAAAGCTTGGACCTGCTGTGCTAGCACCAGCATACGTTGCTAGCATTGACCCTGTCTGCTCATAATTTGGGAAAGATCCAGTGGGCTCGCTCGCGGGAGAACTAGACGAGCAATTCGATTCTCGCAAGTAGCACCCACTTGCATTAACTGACTCAAAATTATGACTTGATGACTCACTTGCTCCCGAATCCGGGCTCAAGTCTAACGAAGTTTCAGCTGGGGCAAGTGGTAGGACATTCATTTGTGCTAAAGTTGGCCTATCGGAGTTAGCACTTGAAATTATTGAAGGTGAAACCGGTTCCAGAGGTGGGCTGGCTTGACTTGGGGTTATCGTCATCTCAGGTACAATTGAATCAGAGGTTGGACCAGAATTTAACACCTGCATCGCCATGGCAGGGGAAGAATTTGTCGGGCTTGTCAAGTTCAAGGTTGCAACCGGAGGTGTCAGTATTGAAGGAGCAGTCGGAACGCTTTGTGTCGGGGAGTTGTTGTCTGTTGAAACAGACATATTAGAGACTGAGTCGGTTGGTCGTGAGGTGGTGTCTGCTGAAACAGACATATTGGAGACTATGTCGGTTGGTCTTGATAATTCTGTCGTCAGAGTTTCAGGTATCTCCGTTGCGAGGATCGGAGTTGTAATGTTCTCATCAAGAATTTCGGATGTTGCAGTCGGTGAAGCACCTGGAGGAAGAGTATGAGTACTGACTGGTGACATTGTTGACTCCACACTAGCATCGTTTTCTGCTACCGGAGCTGGTTTAGAAATCAGAGTCGCATTTGGTGATGCTGAAGCATTGCTTGTCGTATTTGAAGCTGTTGTGTTCGTCGAAGATGAAATTAGCATTGGGTCCGGCGGAGCATCTGTAATTTCTAAAGCTTTTCCTGAAATATCAGCCGCAGACGTCACTACTGTAGATGGTTGAATATCACTCTTCAGCGATTCATTAATCATCATTGGCACTTCGGTAGCTTCTACTGAAGCGGTTGTGTCATTCAGTGTAGGCACAGCTGTAAGAGGGTTTTGTACAGGCGTTGGAGGCGATGTTGACCATGTTGGGGCTGATGTCCTCGAAACCTTATCTGATATATTCGGAGCAAGTGTCAATGCTGAGCTTTCTTCGTAATACAGCGGGACTTGGGTTGCGGAGGGTGGTCCTTTAGTGGTCAATAATGGAGCTTGTGTCTGTTGATCATCCATCGTATCAAATGCTATCGATTTAGTCCTTGCTGGGTCTTCAATCATTGGTGCCACATCTTCCGGAACTTTTGTGATTGTTGCCGTAGATAGCGTTGGTGGTGGCGTTTCTATGGGTGAAGCTTCAAGATTCGAAGATGCCGACACAGGACCCTCTGTAGCTTCAACAGAGACTTGAGTCGCTTGCATTGGAGCTTCAGTGGGAGTTAAAGTGGTAATAGCTGGATCTATAGTCGAACCCACTTTCGTCAACCTTGGAGCTGAAGTCACGGCTGGTGGAATATACGGGGGCACGGGTGTAGACACTGAGATTGTAAAAGTTGCCTCACTTGTTACGGAATTTTGCAGCGTCCTGCCCCTACGTTTCTTACGGTTAACTCGATCAAAATCTCGATTTCGCGGCAAGATCAGACACGCCGTATCCAGTGTCGCATTTTTGCGTTCTACACAACCCAATTTGCCGCTGTCGCTGTCCACTATAGCACAGCAGCTATCTCGAACTAATACACCACTCCCAACCACATCTTGCTGTCCCGCTCGAGGGCATGCAAGAAGCTGTTCATTTGTGGCGCTAAAATATCCTTCACACAACTTCTGGGGTACGCAATACGTACCGGACACGCCCCTTACATGCACAGGTCGCTCCCCATCTCTGTTGCAAAGTGAAACAGCAAGACTTTGGCCGTACTGAGTGGCGGCCACTAATACCGCGTACAGGACAGAGGCCGATCTTATAAGGTGCGTCATCGGTCGATAAATACTCCGACTACCCTTTTAGAAGTCGTGAGTGCTGATATGTTGAGTCCTAGACTGCACTCACTTTATTCTTGTAACGGGATCGCAAAGACGTATCTCCTTAGCTGCGGTGTGGTGTTGTCGTTGTGATTGCTAAACGTGTTTATTTTTGATAATATTGTACCCGCTGTGAGGTCGAGCGTAGCACTGATCTCTGGCTATTCACAGCCGCCACAGATCTGACCACGCAGATACACACGCAGCGTACGAGTCTGCTTGTCTACCTGCTGTCTTGTGGTGCGCGTTTGCATCAAAAAGCCTACCCAATGTACCGGTATATCATGTCCAGTACAGCTCTATAAAATACATTTCTGACATGGATCTACACGGTGGTTAGGGGTACTAGTGAGATGTTGTCAGAACCTAACATCAGGTAAGTTACTCAGCAGGAATTTATTTCGCGTGGCGATAGTCATGGATAAGCTACGCGACGACGCAAATTGACTGCCATAGAGTTTCAACATCGAGTTGCGGTGGAGCAGCAACCTTTAAATACTGTGGATGCTGCTTCAAACGGTTTTGCTGGCTCAGGAAATTGAACTCTTCGTCGTTTGCCAGAGAAAGAGCAATGGGTTTTTTGGGCTGCCCAGTAATATGATCGTCCAGCAACAGGAATTTTCTTTTGATTGACGGATAGATACTAGAGGACAGAAGTGCAGATGTAGTCACTAGGCTAGTATCTGCTACTTTTAGCGATTTGTTGCAATCAACCCATCCCTTCAACTAATAAATGTAGAAGAAGTTGCTTTATTTTATCAGAGCAAACACCTCTGTGAGCCTATGATCTCTCATTGTTCTTACATAGGTGATAAGTGTTGACCGAGTGGGGTGTCGATTCTTACGTATTCTTCTCGCCTAATAATCTATTCTCCATAACATCAAGTTCGACCCTTTTTCCACACTAATGTCAATTATTGACGTGATTACCTTGGTGCTAATAACATGCTAGTTTCCATTTTGTGAAGCACGCTTTTTTACTCGCTAATCGAGTAGCTGGTCTTGGCTGTCACGATGAAATGCTTCTGTGCAGTAACCGCGACTGAAATTTCGAGCTTTGAAAAACGCTCAACTGTGCTGAATATTTATTGCATATGTTTATCCTTCGGCTCATGTATAAGCCACCGCCTACAATTGATAAATTTTCAAAATGAACCTACATTAAACTACAACATCTCAACTGTTTTTAAGGCGAAATATAATGCTGTGAAATGGATACATTAATATATACTAGGGACTGATTACGTATCAGTATAACGTGCAACAGGTTCCACCAGCCACATCGAAATGAACCAGGAGGCACTATGGCGCAGATGATTTAGAGTGAAAGACCGCTAATATCAAGGCACTGGCCATCTCCGCGAGGATGGTGAGCCTGACTTATCGGTCGATAATTCGTAACTCGTCGTCTGCCGCCGAAGCGTGAACGACCTTACGCGATCTTCATGTAAAATAAAGCTTGCACGACCGTGTGTGACCGATTGCTGCTGGCGACAACATCATGTGCCACATGCTCACGTTTGATTTCCTGGGCATGCGAAGGTGATGAGGTCAAGGAAAATTATGCTTGCGAAAAGCCTATCACCTGAGTACGAGGCGATTGAGACAATTTGCAAGACGCAAGATAGCATAGACAGTTTCATGGTGAAGCATGATAACATTTGTAACTACTGTCATGTCTCGCTTGCTGTCTTAGATGTCTTCACCTTCGTCTGGTACTTTGAATTGTTGGACCATGATTTGCAGTGCCTTTACCACTTAGCCTTCGGTAGTTCGATCGCAATCTTTGAGCTATGCAGCATGTTGAGGAGGTATTGTTTACGTGAGAATGTTATAAGTTCATAGTTTGTCTTTCATCAATTCTCTCTGAGTTTGCGATATTACCATATTTAAACCTACACTATTGCAATGCCACACGAAAAGCAGATAGTTATTGAAATCGAAATATTTATACTGACATCAATTGCTTCAACAATATCGAGGCCGTTTTCCCTTGTGAACAATGTTGTCAAGTTGATCTCACACATTTTTCGTGTTGTTCTCTTTGCTAAACAGCATTGCTTTTCTTATCAAGATAGCATGACGATTAAAATAACTTATTTTGTTCAGCCACATTGGCATCGTAGCTTTCGCAGCTGACCCCTTGAGATTTTCTTGATTATGGCAAAACGTCGACATTCTTCGATATTCTGGTCGTGCGGTTAGTCAATCTGGATGCATTTTCTGAGCTGTTCAATTGTACAGATTGGCTGGAGGCAGCTCGAGCAAGTTTTATTACTAAGCGTAGAATGTAGGTCAGCTTCAAGGGATGTCTGAGACACTGCTTTGAGATGAAGTTGTCGATCTTGTCACGAAGCGTTACCAGACCGATAATAAAAAATCGTATCGACCACCAAGACCGGCGCCACTTTGTGGTCATGTAAGAAGGACGCGGAGGTTCCAAACCATTTATATAGCATGAGGTAAAGCCTATAGCGGCGAGTATCGCATCAATCAACGAAAATAGAATGGGCGATGACTTTTTGCAGTAGTAACCAGTCCCTCTGAGCATATTCGCGTGACAATATCCTTCAATATACGATAATTGCGTTTCGGTTTGACCATATGATGATCGATAGGCATCTCAAACGATATCTGAGTTTGGTGACTTTGTTTAGGGTGCTTGACACCCTAAACAAAGTCACCATCCTAAGGCCGCATTTGTGGATAACATTGACGAGAAAAGGTTGGCTATTTACCCAATCGCTGAGAGCACTGAGAGGCTCGAACGATCCACAAAATATATTAATTCGGTCGCACCATTTAAGAGGAAGAATATAGCTCAAACGTTTTTTGCAAGGAACCGCTTCTTTGACCAAAGGCACCGTGGCGACGATTTTACCTGTTGACATCTTCCGCACGAGCTCATACGATATACTACCTCCTTTTTGTATGCTGAGCTACTGGCTTATAGTAACAACCAAACCGAATGTCGTTTCTGAGATTGTTGCCAAGCAAAGGACCTCGTACGGTATTCTCGAAATTATGTGCACAATCTCTCGCTGAGATTTGAGTGGTCAAGTACGGTGAAGCAGCAAGAATGGAGACCAAAATAGCGGTCGAATACTCGTCACTAAACCTTCCAATGGGGAAGCATCTAAATTCCTGAGCTCCTTCCACCCCACAGCTTTCAGAAACGCAGCACATGTTGCATCCGACCCATACGCTATAAGTATCGCCCCAAAATGCACGAGTTCACGATTATGACATTTCGTAGCAGGGGTGACGCAGAAAAGAGCTTTTGTCACACCGGCTCGTATGTTACCTCGTAGGTATTCTGGAAAGAAAAAGTTCTATCATGTTATTTGGATGTGAGATGTGGTAACGATGTCGATATGCTTAGTGACGGAAGGTAGTATTGAACTTAAATGGCTTGAAGTCAGAGTGGTGCTTCCGAATATAGCAACACGATCCGGTGAATCACCCAAACACTCTTAATCGTGCAAAAAGCACACGCGAGTGCCACCAGTCACCTGCTGCTGATGATTCACTTAGTTACTTCTCTCAACTGTCGTGCTACAGGTGGGGACGCAACTGTGCGTGTCACGAGTCGTTTATAGGGTAGTTCTTCTCTGCCACTTTAGTTTGGCAAGAGTACATGCGTTGACGCGTACATCCACAAAGGCATTCGCTTAGAGTAAATCATAGCTTTTGGTATAGGTTCTTGCATACTACATTAAATGGTCGATCTGAATTCCGAAAGTCCGAATCGGGTACACTCCATGTCTCGAATACGACAGATATCCACACTGTTCTTTTTTTCACAGCCTTGATGGCCACATTTTCTGCCGCATCCCCACACCATATTATAATCTTTTCAAGAATAATGAACTGGTGACGTGTCATGTCAGCATAGTGTGCGCGGTACTCTGTGTTATATCTAACTAGAACGCTTTATAAAATTCTTTTAACAGAGAGAATGGCCAAGCTACAGTGACCATTATCTTTGCGAACTCTGCGACCGCGCTTCTCAAGAAACAATCCAAAAGAAGACCTCGCCGATTCTAAAGACGCACGAGCTTATGAGGAACCCCTTTAAAAGCATGTACTCGAACAGTGCACGCAAGCGTTTAAAGTAGGCTAGCACTTGCCGTTTTGTTTTCGGCACAGAAAGTCGGCGCCAAGTGGGTGTTTCCTTCAAAACGTTACTTCCTCACTTGATCCGCACAAAAGAAAGCGTCAATGCCGTTAGCTGCCCCACGAAAAAAGCCATCGTCGAGTAAATGGTAACAAGAATATTTTATGAAACAATATTTGATCTGGAGGCAGTATCATTGGTGATCCTATTGACACCATGTGCAGTGGGGCTGCCGTAGCACTTTCGCTGAGAGGAAGCCTAATTAAGGTCGGTGACCTTCGTTCTGAGATAAGAACAAGTACGAGTGTAGCGGATCGCAATCCGCTTACTCCAAGAGTAACACCAACCTTAACCCAAGGCTAGTTTGACTCGTCCGTTTGAAATGTAAACTGTATTTCTCGGCTTTATCTGCAGCAAAGCCGACTGTATCTAAATCTATAGGTTCTCCTATTTATATAGAAAAATCAAACTAAATGTATAACTACTGGCTGTTCCAGCCACGTACTGAGTTGTTGTTTGAGTGGGTCCACACCATTGCGTGGTCAAACTTTCATGTGTAAAACACACCATTGTGTGATCACGTCATTTTGGGTGACTCGTTACACTCTCCCCCATCAAGCTTACAGTTCACATTTAGATGCCACCTCGAACGAGGCTCGCGCGTCTAAGACACCACAACATCACCAGGACCTTCCATGTGTCTGCTCAATGAGCCTTGTGTCGAGGACACGGAAGTCACCTACTATCGCTGGTTGCTAGAACGCCCGCGGGCAGAGCCTTTCTTTGTCTCGTGTGCGCGGTACAACTCCGAGCAGTACGTCCGAGGATTCATGGGAAG